TATAATATTAAACACTATGGTTCATTCCTATATCTTCCTGATTGTAGTCTGGAGGTGAGGTTGGTGAACCATAGTTTTGTGGAACCGAGTACCTTGAAGAGGGGCGCACAGGTAGATACTGTTGTGAATAGATGGGATAGGRAGATGGATGTGTGAGAGAAGTTTGCTGGCCAATATTGTTTGGATAATTATTGAATTGGTGAAGGTTTGCGTTGAAATTCTGTGAGTGGTCGATAGGAGGGTTTAAAATATTTTTTACGGACTGCATGAATGCTATTTTAAAATCAAGTTTTTGTTTGTCATTCATTTTTTTTGAACTCTGGAAGGAATGATAACAAGAAAGCTTTATCAGGATCTAAGTCTCCCGAGCGTGATTGAATGGGTGGGTGTTGCATAAGGTGAAGCAAATTTTGTTGGAATGGGGTAATCTTTTTATTTTTATTTTGAGGCACAGGTATATTCATGTTGTTGTTTGATGGCTGAGGTGAAACATAGTCTTCTTCAGAAATGTCAACAGTAGTTTCTATTTCTGGATCATGGATGATGGATGATGATGGCATATTACGTACCTGTTGTCCTGCAATTTTAATAATAATGTAAATTTTAAGAAAGAATTTTGTTCCCGAAATGTATTTTAATTACTTTCTGTTTTTTAAAACTGGCAGTAAAAATGACAGTACATCAGCATAAGCATAGAGGAGACTGGGGCAGATTTGAACATATTTTTGTTTTTAATTTTTTAAATTTTCTCTTAAAAAACGCTCAAAATAGTTTTATCATATAAAATAACTTCTTGGGAATATAATTTGATAGTTACACTTACTAACTTTTATTCTTACCCATAATAAACAAGTTTTTTTAAAACAATATTTTTGTTCAAATGTACCCCACAGTAGGGGTACTTTTGAACATTAGCAATTTTTTTGATAAAATAAGTTAATTAACACATATAAAGAAACTATGTTTTTATTAGAACTCTATAAAAATGTTTATATGTTAATAATAAAATAAAAACTTGATAAAACTTGAAAAATTAATATATGTATTAAAGTGGTACCTAAAATAAAAACATAACAATTGAAACTTAAACAATTTTCTGTGGTACCTACCTAATTAATAAACCTAAAATAAAAAACATTACAATTGAAACTTAAACAATTTTCTTTTAAACAAAACAATATTAACTTAATTAGATACCTAGTGTTCGCCTTGCGCTCCTACTTTTAATATCGCGGTTAGCGCAAACGACTCGCGTAGTGATGNGGGGAGATTTCAGCATCGTTCCGCCGGTGCGGTGCCGCCGGACGCGACGAAAGCGCCGACAGCAACGACGGCCGTGTGTGGCGACGTGTGGACACCGTACACTGCGGGTTTGTGGGGGGCCAGGGGAYAATTATTACATAATACTGCSGTCATTTCTGCATTAGCGCGCGATAGTCATAATAATATATAAATAAGGTATGCTAATTAGTGAAACTATGGGTACAGGTATGTTTGTTGTAATAATCATATCAGTGCAAAAAAAATGCTGTGACGTTACAAGATATATATTAGACCTATGGGCAGATAATAGACTTAGTTAAAAAGCGATAGGCCCAAAAAGGAAACGAATTTAACACATAGCTTGAGACATATAAGAGATAGGATTTTTAACGGCCTACGAAGTGTACGGTTTCAGCTAGTTACATATAAATCATAGTCCTACTAATTATTAATAATTATAGAATATTTACGTACCGTGATCTCGAATGTAAAAAATTGACCTAGATATTTTACTATCAACGTCACGAACGGCAGCCGAACACCCATAGAATCTTTAGGATTCAACGGACAGGTTATACAACACGCGTTCACGTTTTGGGACTGGATCTGAAGCACGTTGGACTTAATTTCGTCGTCATGGACTTGTTTTATTTCTCCTCCTTTGCACTGATAGCACCAGTAGAAATGATCATGACAACGGTGATCAAGTTATGTTACAAATAAGCATTTTACTCATTCAGTTTACATCACTTTTTTTTWAAAAAAAGCATGGAAACAAATGTTGGTGTTTGCCGTTATAAATTAAAAATAATTATTGTCACATATAAGAACGAAGTTAATCTGGTAATAATATGTGATTTAAACCTGAAGAAAATAAGTATCTACCTAAGGGTCGYGACACACTACAGCGGTTTTGACGCGCGGTTTTCCATCGCGCGGTTTCAACGTGCGATATGCACGTGTTACACTAGCGCGGTTTGCGCGCGTTCACTACGCGCTCAGACCTGTTAGGTTGATGATTCGGATTTGCGCTGTCTTGCACCTCTGACTTGWAGTCATTTCGACTTATTTGAATATTATTTGTATATTTTTTATTGATTTTTTTTARTGAATATATTGACATATATATAAATAATTTGTATTAATTCGTGGAATTATATAGCAAGTATAAGCAAGTTGAAAGTAAGTAGTAACGACTAACAGATATACATATTTATTATAAGTTATTTATTTATTTATCTATATTAAATTAAAATTATTTTGAAATTGTTTATTCAGTATGGATTACGATTATTATATGAACGCATTGAAAGTGATCGCAGTGGCAGAATCATTTGGATATCTGAACCCACCAAGATCAGAAAGATCATTTTGGATTCATCCTTTTAATGMAGTACGGGAAACTAATAATCGGTTTTTTTCTTTTTACGAAGAAATTCGATAGTATCCGAGAAAATTTTCTGAGTTTTATCGAATGTCAATTTCTTCATTTGACGAACTATTAGAAAAACTACGTCCCCACATAACTAAAAAAACCACAAAATTCCGACGTCCGATGTGTCCAGAAGAAAGATTGACTATTACAATCAAGTAATTAAATAATAATTAACTACCTAGTAAATATTATATTTGTATAGAATAAGTATAGTTAAATAAATTAAACCTCTTTAATACATA